ATGGTTGCATTCATACACACACACACACACACACACACACACACACACACACACACACACACACACACACACACACACACACACACACACACACACACACACACAGACACTCACACACTCACATGCACACACACAGAGTCTGCAAAATGCTAACTGTCTGATGTCAGCCAAGTGTCAGACATCACACAGCCTTCAAAAGAGCTTCTCATCTACCAATAGAGAAAGTATGCAAACTGTGTGGTGATAAATTCAGACCCTGTGGAGCTGTTTTATTACAGCGTTAGCTTTTGATTGTGCTTTTTTCCTCTACAAAGTGTGTGTGTGTGTTTCCTTTAGGGCTAACAAAATTGTTGAAGTCCCTTCCTTCTTCTCTTGTCAAACACATGAAAAGATTTTTTTCCAAGTGCTTAAAAAACCTGCACAGCTCAAATCAATGTTCGGTAACATTCTTTCTTCTTTTTCCTGCCCTCTCTTAGGGGGCAGGATCTAAGATTGCAGGAATATTTGCCAAATATGCACTTCTTAAATTTTGCCCTTGAAATCTTCCTTGAAATCTACCTGTTCACACATGCACCTCACAGCAGTAGATTTTCCTTGATAGATGGGATGAGAGGTCTCATGAGAGGCAGGAAATGAGGTAAAAAAGGACAACTCAGAAATAGCAGACAAGCAGCAGAGTCCAACGCTATGATGACCTTTGTGTTTTTTATATGACGGCTGTGTATTATAAATCGTTTTCACAGTATCGGCATATGACTGTTTAAGAACATACTTGCAAGCAGCTTCATTACGTGCACAACAATTGCGTCGGTCCCTTGATATCAACGTCAATAACCCCTCCCCAATGCTCGCAGTGAATAGACTTCAGATGGACTATTTGCTTGAAGGCTGTCAGGAAAACTTCCAGGGGAGAAAAAAAAGTTGGCAGTTTGCATTCTCACATGGAGACCACGCAAAATATGTCTGAATGAAAAGCATTCTTGTCTTTGCAAAGACAAAAGTGTAACCCTGGTCCTTTTCTCCATGGCTCCATGAGTAATGAGCAAAACCCTGTAAGTTTTGAGTTGGACCTTAGACTGTGGTGGACGTTGTCTCATGCTTTCAAAGTGAAGCCAATGCTGACGTGCCTGTAAACTGCCTTGTTTCCAATGGCCAGCAGGGGGAGACTTCACCTGTTGCCTAAAAAGAAGCCAGGTTCTAAATCAACCAGCAGACGACCCTCTAAGTTGATTTATTACCTTTGTAAACATGTTTTTAATGAGTTATTGTTATAAAATTGCTAGTTCACCGTGTTCTTTGACAATTAAGTCAGGCGTGCTTTAGGGCGTGGCTACCTGTGATTGACAAATCACTAACAAAGCGGTTTTCCAGGCAATCCCCAACTGGGAGGAGACCCCGGGGCAGACCCAGAATACGCTGGAGGGATTGTGTATCCCATATAGCCTGGGAACGCCTCAGAATCCCCCAGGAGGAGCTGGAAAAGTGTTGCGACCTGACCTCTGATAAGCAGAAGAAAATGGATGGATGGATAACAAAGCAGCCTGTGAACCAGGAGAGACATGCATATCCACCCTCTCCTTCAAATATGGTTACTTTGGTCACTAGGCTTTCAAACTCTAGTCTAAAAACCCATGAGTGACGTCATAATGGGTCATCCACTTTTTATACACCGTCTAGGGCCCTCTTCAGATCAGAGCCAGCATTGCACTGTGGTCATTTCGACAGTATCACAAAATGAGTATCAATGTTTGGGCATGCCATGCAAGTCAGAGTGCCTTCCTCAAACCACTCCCTACCAAGTCTGTTTTCCACTATACTGAGAGAGTTTGACCCGTCTGTGAAGGAGAGTTATCTTGTTGATAAGGAGCTGCAGAATTATCCCAATGGCTTCCAGGTGTATTTCAGGATGTCAGTAGTCCAGTTTGATACACCGGTCTCTACACCAGAACCGAACATTAAAAAGAACACCACCAATTTCCACAGAGCAGTCGATCCTGAACAGCGGCTGTATGAGGTAGAAACACTATAGACACATGCGCAAACACACAGGGATGGATGCAAAAAAACACAGAAAATGTAACATGTGAAGATGTTAATTACAAAAAAAAAACACAATTGCTTGATGTTATTTATGTGGACAACTTATAATTTGAGTGACATAAACTCATGGCTGTATAAAGTTCCTGTTTCTGTGGGAGTGAGGGAAGTTTGTCCCAAAGCTAACTGCTGTATTCATCACCTACATGTTAACGAGGGGAACTTCACTCAGCTTCAAAATCCAAGTTAAACTGTAGAACCAGACGATCCTGAGTTTTCGTTGCAGACAGTAACCCTCTCTCCATTTGCAGTCTGCACCACAGCGGCCTCACTCAAAGGACTGAAGGGCTGCGGTGTTTTTCACACTGTGCTGGGTCGGTCAGAACACAGCCAATGACTGCACGTTGTCTTGATTCCTCTGGTCTTGCTGTCTTTAAATGTTTTAGTGTGTTTGGGTGTGTGTGTGTTTCCTCAAGAGGGGATGTTCTTTTGGAGATCAGTGGGTGGAGCCTCTGTTGTAGTTTTCAATAAGGCTTTGGCGATGTTTCTATCTGCTGATTGGAGAATAACGGAGTTTTACTTCATGCTGCTGCTCTGATATTGAACTACCTCAACAGGGGGGCGGGCAGCTTTGATACATATCTCATATTCTCCTTTGAAATCAAACACAAAGATCCAAAGACATCAGCTGTTCTAAAGATACGACCAAAATGGCTTCCAAACTGGCTCACGTGCTTTTTAAATGCCATGAGTTCTGACAGTTTAGGATTTATAATACGGCTTGTTCTTAGACCTTCAACTCTGTGTCACACTTTCCTTGTGAGTCTCATCCAAAATAAAAAAAAAAGATTCTACCTGTTTAGTGTCAAGGTATCCTTTTTTAATACAATGTTAGGTCTCTTTGACAAAACTATTTGGTTTAGTTCAGGACACAAGCCTCTATGTGAGTTAAGATGATTATGTTGACTTGTTGCTGCTGTCGCCTGGTAAACGGCCTTGGATGTTACACCAGTCTGACCCTAGTTACCCACTCATGCATACTCCCTCAGTGTCTACATGTCTTAATTGAGGGGTAGCATCCTCCGAAGGACCCAGCCTTTGTAGCCTGCGTAGACCACCGGGATCACATTGAAATTAAACTGTCTGGTGTAACGTCTTTGCGTCACCAGCTACCCTTTTTGTCTCTGAGCACCAAGCAGCCTCCACAGCTGCACTGGAACTAGTTAACATCACTAACGTCACATAACTCAACCTTTTACTTAAGACGTTTCCAGGTCTTCTTTGTTAAAATCAGTTTTAGTTATTTGATGAAAAAGAAACCGATAACTTGCATTGAAAAGTGAATTGGTAGGTTGAGAGTCTGTTAGGTCTTCTGAATTGGTGCACAGTGAATCTTTGGATATGTTGGTCCATCAACTGGACAAGATGGATCCTTTGTTAGCCGTGAAGTAGGACGCCATTGGCGATGCTGTGATGCAATAGTTCTTCATCGCTTATATCAGTGCTTTACAAACTCCCCCTCAGGTAAATCCTTAAGATGGCTTAGGTTAATGAACTTAAATGCTAGTATTATGATCTCACAAGAGCAGCGCACTAACAGTGAATGGGAACAGGCTGTGAAACTGTCTCATTAAGTACTGGCTTTGATTAAGTATGTTCTTTTTGCATTGTACTAGTAGTGGTTTTTAATTGTAGTCCTGTTACAAATGATCTAAAATTAGTTTTGATAATCAGGAAGCTGTAAAATAACCCTAAACTGAGAGTGACATCATCAAGGTAATAAGAAGCAACATGTTTAAAAAACTATGAGAAAAAATGTCTCCTTTCAAAAGTACAAAAGAAGTATCACCTTAATCCTTTGGGCAAATTTAGATTCATGCTGTTTTAATAAAACTTACTTTACTGCTAAGACTAGTTTGACTTCTGTTTTGTTTTTTTTTTGGTGGGGGGGTTGTTTCTTGTGAAATGTAAAAGAGATGATTGTATTTTTTGGAGTTGCTACAACAATGGGCATTGAAATGACTCCCTTTATATAGGTTCACTTGTCTTAAAGCAATATCACTCCTCCAAACGTAACCATTAGCAACCTTAAAGGCAAAGTGCATTATATCAAACAAACTATAAACGTAAATAGAATTAGCCTTAAATCAATAATGTCTATCATCTCACCTGAGAAAAATAAAGATCTTGAATGTAAAACTTAACAAAAATAAATGTCCTCTCCATCTTACATCTCTGAAACTATGATTTACTCACTTCAAAGTGCTTTTTCACAAGGTGTGAACGAGGTGTTATTTTGTCCCCCTCCCCTCCTGTTGAGTGAGGAACAGAGGACGGTCCAAAGCAATGTGCAGCCAGAGATAATAGCTGAGAAACAGATAGTGGACAGAATGGGAATAAGTGCAGGCTGGGGAAATAAAATGCAAACGAAGCAGATACGAGTAATTTATTCACCTCATAATAGTTCTTTCATTTCTGTCCACAAGGGGGCGTGTCTGTCAGGCAATTACACTTAGACATCATGACAGATGGAGCTGGGGGGTTTGTGCGGTGGGCCGGGGTTTCCCAGTTGGTCAGATGGATTAAATGTTAGAAAATGGAGAAGGGGTACCCTCATCTGAAGAAAGGGAGGAATAGATGGAGCATGCAGGGATACAGAGCTAATGGCAGCCGACAGATGATTGGCTGCAGGCTGTAACCACCAGCCAATCGGTGAGAGGGAGGAATAAAGCGATTAGAAGGTCTTGTCTATTAGCAGCTGGGGGGAGGGGCTGATGAAACAAGGGTTAATGTGTGTTGAGTGTTTTTTTGGGGGGGGGCTTTGTGCTGGATGAATGGCCAGACGGGATGAATGAATATAATATAGATCTGTACTAAAGCGGATAAAATATCATTCAGACGACATACAAGAGGTGAAAAATGTTGAATTTTATTACAAACATAAATACTGTTCAGGTGTCACTGTATAGATTTTCACATGTTAATGTATTTTGTACATAAAGCTGTAATTACCATAACATAATGAACATGAAGGAATTAACATAACAAACAAACAGACGTTTCTTTTTATATCCCCTCTGTTGTTCTCCTTTGTCCTCTCAGTGCTACCTTCCTGTCTTTTAAAAATCCTTTCATGTCAGCTCTTTTCTCTCTCTGCGTTCACCGTGCACCTGATTTGTCTCGCTGCGTGTCTCTCACTGCGTCTTCTTGGCCTTCTTTTTAGCGAGGTAGCTGTGGTAGTAGAAGTTACTGAAGAGAGCGATGAGGCTGAGCGAGTAGGCCAACACCACCATGTTCATGGAGTCAGGGAAGTTACAGTCGGCAAACAGGTTGTAGGTGGTGTGGATAGTTATGATGAAGAACTGGAGCTGAGAGAAAAACAGACGGAGAGACGCTCAGGAAAGATGTTACAGGCAGAGTGAGACGAACCGATCTGCAGATTATCTGAGCAATTTAGTGAGTGAAGAAATAAGAAAATCATCATCAAGCATTTTTTAAGTTTTTACAACAGAGGCAACAACTTCCTTACATCCTTAAAAATAAACATGAATAAAAAGATATTCACCTAAAAAATCTCGAAAGAATTTGACACTCATACTAGTGACATAAAAACGGCTAAATTCTAGAGATGCACCGAAAATCAGGGACGAAACAATACCAGTGTTTGAAATGTGGCCAATATCCGACTCTGTTACCGGTGTTCGCTTCTGCAGAGAGCTTCTTGTGATGAAGACTCCCACAATGCCGACATTTTCTCTCATGTTTGACAACGAAAACAAGTCAGAGTTTGTTCAACAGGAGACCAAATTAAAAACCATCTTCTCTTGATCTGTTAGGTTTTCTAGATGTCGGTGATTAGTGACCCTGATTTGAAACAACAAATAAACATCAGTTCCTGCCATATTATTTGCCAATGTGCCGAAGTCTTTCCACTGGGCTGATGTTGGCAGATACTGATGATGATCGGTGAATCAATTCTCACCATAATGATCTATTAAGAAACTACGGTGTATATCATCTTATCATGTTTAAATTGTAATATATTTTTTAATATTCTATTTATTTGTCACACCATTGTGTGTATGCATTAAGTACATAATGCAGAACATGCCAACCCTTTTATAGAAATAATAAAATACTTAATTTAGAGAGCACCCTTAAAGTCTTCATTTAAAGACCGTTTTTCAAACTCCATGTGACAACGTGCTTAAAAAGGCAGTGAAGTAAAACAGGGAGGTGATAACACCGTAGTTTTTAAAACAGAGATTAAGAAATAACAAATACTGGGTCTGGGTTTGTAGAGCAGGTCGTCCACAGACGTTGTTCTCCACACACTGGTCAAAGTGTTCGACTCCCGGTCCTGTCCCTGTTATGTGCACTCTGTCTCTCTCCACACATTTCCTCTCTCTCTAAAGCTGTCCTATCACATCAAGGCAAATAGAGCTCAAACTAATCTAAAAAAAAAATAATAATAATAATAGATATTATGAAATATTTAAAACATCTCTAAAGGCCACACAAAATATTGAATACAGTTCATGTTAAAATCTAAATTCAAGTGAAATCAGGATCAAAGTTTGTTTTCAGAGGAGATTTTTTTTTGTGTGGATAAAAATGCTCAAATGATAACTCCACTAAAGTCATTTTTTCGTCGGAGACAGGGAGAAAGATGAAATATATGATTATAGGCTCCAACCTGTCCGTCAAAGACAACATGAGAAACTCAGAGCTGTTCAAATAGCGTGCATCAGTAAGCAGGTAAGTTAAGAAAACACCATTATGGAGCCTTTTGGTAGCCAGCCCAACTGTCTTATCATTGCTTGTACTATGTCCTATTGTTGCATTGTTTTGTGTCACAGATGTTTTGACTAAATCTTTCATTTGTGGGGTGCCCCTGACCAATCTGTATTTAGACATCTTAGTGTCAAATCCATGAGCAATGAACGTGAAAAAGACTGAGCACTAAAGGTTCTGTTGCTTGAATGGGGGGAGATCGTCCACTCTGAACTTACTTCTACATCAGTGCTTAATTAAGTTCATTATAAAAAGTGTTACTACTTATAATACAACAGTTTCTACACTTTAATATGTTATTGTAAAAGCAAATGTGCTACTGTAGCCAGAGAACAGGCAAGGATTATGTGTGTGAATGATAATGCTACACATCCATTTATTATTGTTTACATCCCCAGGCACGTCTCACCCGTGGGTGTTGTGACACCCACACTTTCACTGAAACGTAATTTCATCCCCCACACTTTTTTTTGGTCAAGTGAGATTTATTAAGTGACAATTAAGCCAATCGTAGCTGTTTGGTTACAGTATTTTCTCCTCTTGGTTGTTCTTTTAGCTGTATTTATTTACTCCCGTAACATTACGATGTAGCGGAAGTCCCCTTTGCAGTTTTTCAAAATAAAAGCACATTTTATATGAAGACCGGAAATAAAGAGACTGAGCTATGAGGCAATAAGAAAAGCAAAATAAAAGTATCACAAAGAGAAGTTTTAAATCTGTTTTTTAGAGCTAACTGGGTTACTTACAATGGATGTTCATAAAGTTAGTGTCTAATTATCATCTTTTGTAACTTTGTCTTGTTGTATGTTGTGTCAGCTAACATTAGTTATTGGACAATAAATGAAACAGAATGTATTTATTTGCTACAGGGTGATAAAAAACACAACAAATTGCTGCTGAACCCCTGTATACCCCTCCCTCCCAATGTGATTTAATAATCACCTCTCCAAAACACAAAAGAGAACCCAGTTAACACACAAAGAAATGCAATCTCCAAACTCTTCAATTAACTCCACTGTTTCAGCCTCAGTTCACCAAACCGTGACGCCAACTGTTAAAGGCTTGGGGGTCTCCTCTGAGGTCAGCACAATTATTGTTACATAATGGCAGCCGGTCACCTTGCTGACCTATATATGTTGCAGACTTAGAGAAAGAATAAGAAACACAACAGGATGTATTGTCTCTTCATCAGCGATTTATGTAGAAAACAGATGGTCTAGTGGTTAGTTGAGGAGCATCAGCACCTCTAAGCTGACTAGTTATTACAACCAGGACAATGACAAACAAAGCAAGTGGCGTTGTGTCGGCGCGGAAAAGATACAAACTGAAGCTTGTGTAAAAATTTAGATATTTTTCGACTTATCCCACAACTGTTTAAGTTGGAATAGTTTCAAATAAAGAAAGTTGGACAGCCCCATACAAGATGAAAACAGTTCTGGGTTTAGAAGATAACCAGAGAGCGTCTTTGAGTTACTTAGTAGAACACCAGATCTCACCAAGCAGCAACCTCAGGAGCTGCAGTTGAAATACTGCAGTTGATAATTTGTCCACTAAAGGATGGCTCCAAGAGTGCGTTCAGCTAACCTGACCTCAGCTAATGTGGTAACTAAAGTATACTTCTTGGCTGAGTCTGGGTTGATGGTGGTTTATTCATGCACTAACAGGCTGTCAGAAAACTTTGTGCTACATCTTTGCTGAGTGAAGTTTTAGTTTTATGACTTTGCAGTGTATGGCGTCTGTGCCAACTGTCTTTGGCATTTCCCCACAGACAACACAGTAGGCAGTAGTGATGACCGGTTGTGTTAAGTTGCCAGGTTCCTGCTGTTCACCGGCTCGTCCCTTCTACAGGGATGTCATGTTTCCACATTAATGTAGTGAAATAATGTTGAACTCTTATTTATAATTTATTGTTGTATTTGTTGCTGTGGTTATTTATGTCTTCATGTACAAGCTGCTCCAATCCAATTGCCCTTAGAGGAATTTATTAAATTGTTTGAATTCAATTAAATAGAATTGAAAATGAAAATTACTACATGAATTATGACTGCAGAAATGAATGTTACAAACTCACATGCACACACATGCATACACAGACACACATACAGAATTACTGACCAGCTGCAAAGAGGTGAGGTGGCGTTTCCACCACAGGTATTTCAACATTCCCGGTCCGAAAGCTGCCAGGCCATAGTACAGATACATCACCACATGGACCAGGGAGTTGATCTGACCAATGAGGAACGCTGTGGACACATAAGCATGCAGGAGGAAGTTATCTCTCTTTTAGATGGACATAAAGTGATGAGTTTATTTTTGAGGCAGTTTTGTGACACTGGACAGTTGTGTTGGCGTGCACTCACACTGGCCACCAGCCACATATTTCACCCCGGCCCACCAGTTGAAGATCATGGTGGCGTGATGGTAGACATGGAGAAAGGTCAACTGACTGTTCTTCTTCCTCAGGATGAAAAATATCTAAATCGTTCAAATAAAAAAATACAAGCACACAGTAAGATGTCACAGCATGTTTAGTATAATGAAACACTGCAGGTACAAAAACATGCAGGGTGCAGCATGTTAGAAGATCACTAAGGGTCACTAAGGCTGAAGGCTGAATAACAAATAGATTGATCAAAAACAAAAGAACTCATCTTTTCCCGCCTTTCATACTCACAGTGTCACTGAGCTCTATAACTTTGGAGAAGTAGAACCACCAGCACACTCTGGCCATCTGCCCAACAAAGTGACAAATGTGTGATTAGTCTGCTAGCTAAATTCTTAAACTAATGTAGTTTTTCTACTGGTTGTGGGAAATTTCTAATTCAGATAATTTCTTAAACACAGTTTCAAGAAGAACTGGCTTCATTGAATTGTAAGATACACATTGACATCTGTTCTTCAAGAGTATGTTTGTCATGAGTTGATATCAGTGTTTCGTTTTGTTTTTCAGGTTAGATGTATTTATCTTTTAGGTCTCATTCTTCTCTGTGTGTTTCCTAGTTTAGTCTTCAGTGTTTCCTGTGTTATTTTGTCATTTCATATCGTGTGTCCCTCTATGTTCTAGTGTGTCTTGATGTTTAACAGTGTCTTCAGTGTTTCATGTATTTATGTCATAGTTGTCCTCAGTGTTTCTTGTATTCCTGCCTCTGTGTGTTTCCCTCCAGTGTGATTGCCCTCATTGTCTTCATCTGTGTCGTTAGTCTCACCTGTGTCTGATTACCCCTGTGTCTATTTAGTCTCTGTGTTTCTTGTCCTCTGTGTCAGTTCATTGTTGTTTGTTGGGGTTGTATGGCGTTTCGTATGTCCTATGCCAGACTGCTGCTTACCTGTGTTTCAAGCATTTTTCCTGTGCTTTTTGACTTCTAGTTTTTAGCTTTTGAAGTAAGTTCTTGTTGGCCTTTGGCCTTTCTGTTTATTAAATATATTTAGTAAATTCTGCACGTGGGTCCAGTTCCTTGTTTTTCCCCTGAACGTGACAATGTTGTCATCAAGGTTCAATCCTGTATAACATTGGTTTAGTATAAAATGTATATGCAGTGAAGCTGCATCTAGAAAATGTACAACACAGTGAAAAGATTTACCCTCATGGCCAGTGGGCTGTCACTGTAGTCCACAGGCTGACACAGCAGACTGTATCTAGCCAACCAAGAAGAGGCTGTGAACTGAAAGACAAAAACTCACTCAATGAAGGACCTGTTATCCCATTTTTTGTGGAGAAGGATTTCTGGTCCTATTACAACTTAAATAAGGTTTTTTGTTTGGCAGTAGAAACAAGCTGCTAACACAAGAGTGACACGGTATCACCTTCAAGTTGAAATTGTAATCTAAAGTTATTACCATAGTCTGTATGAAACATGGACGTATTCTTAGTGACTTTACCAATTGGTTTCTGAAGACGCATTATGAAGCACATTGATAGCATACACCATTTTGGAAATGCTAACTCAGGTTTAATTTCGATCAATCTACAAACAGGCAAAGAGGGGGATCTGAGGTGGTGACCTTTAGCCTCCTGTCAATCAGCTTTACAGTATGTCCACCTGTCATCATCTCAGCCACGCCTCTAATTATGTAAATTATGGATGACTCTCAGGCTGAATAAATTCAAAATGTATGAATGAAAGAATAGAATCACTGCCCAAAAAGTTAACACATTCCTTTTTTGAAGCAGGCTGTAAACATGTTGGTTTATGCTGTAAAAATTGAGATTCCTTGGCTTCTACAGCCAGCCTCAAATGGACACTTGAAGAACTACAGCTTCTTGCACATTCACATTGGCTTCATTTTTCAACACCAGATGTCTACTTGGTATTTACACGTCAAGCACTAATGGAGCGACTCTAATATAAATATGTAGTAGAAGGTACTATAGGGTTAATATTCACTCTCTTGCTCTCTCTTTACCTTCAGAAGATTTGACTGTGTTCTGCAGCTAAACGCTAATACATTCAACCCTTTGTGAGTGCTACAGTTTTGCATGTTTTCCACTGGGGCCTTCACATTACACACATTTGATCCATTGATGTAACAAAAACAATTAGAGAAACTTTAAAGACAGGTTTTAAGATTTGAATGTCTATCCTTCTGCACCTTTTTGTGTTCCATATTTCTCACATATCAATGTTTTGATGATTTAGCTTTTCAAGACTTTAAGACACACCCCTCACAAACGTTTTACATTCACACTTTAGTAATACCTCATAGAACATGTATGCAGACAGGCAGACCATGGCAAAGTTGTAAACTATCAGCACAGGTTTAAGGTTGACCGGCTGCCTGTTGGCCATCAGCTTTGGTCCCAGCCAGATAATAAACAGGTAGCACAGAAAGATACAACCGACTGGCACAGGAGAGTAAACCAGTGGCCAACTGTCCGTCCTCCTGTCTGCACAGAAAAGGAACAAAGAAAAGGCAAAGTAGAGTGTGACATAAAAATCCATCAGTATAATGGAAATGTGTGAGTAAATTAAAAGACTTACCTCCATTTCTCAGAATCCCCAGGTAGTATATTTGTAATTTCTGCCACATGGTCGGAGCCTTGAAGCCCTGAGAAACACATGATCAGTGAAATCTCATGTTAGTTAACAAGTTTAAAACTTAAAAACCAAATACCATGTTGAAAATAATATTTGGGGGGATGGCTTATTCCGTAGATGACAGGCAGAAATGTTGTTTTTTGATAGCTCTTATAAAGTCCCTCCATTTAAGGAGAACAATAATAAAGTAGATGTTGCCCTAATCATTATTTGGGTTGTTCCAATAAAGAAATACAATTTTAGTTTCATGGCAAGTTTACAGAGCTATTGGAATATTGTTCTTACTTTTTGTAACAAAAAAACATTATCATTATGTTGTGTGCTGCAAAAATGTAGTCGTATACAAATTTTAAAGGTCACATATTATTCAAAATTCACTTTATCATGTTTTTCTAACACTAATATGTGTCCCTAGTTTGTCTACAAACCCCAAATTATGATAAAAGTCCATCCTCTCTGTATTTTGCCTGCTCCACTTTTCAGAAAACGTGTGCTCAAACAGATTGTTTAGAGATATTCCCTTCATGACATCACAAAGGGCAGTAACCCCTCCCCCATGTGGGTGACTCTCCCACAGCTAGGTGTTTGTTCTGCCCTCTGAGTCTGCCTTCTCACCGTTAACAATAGGGCATGAAACGAAAAAAGGCAAAGCAACCCAAACCCAGTAGGACGTATCGAACACAGCTCATTTACATTTAAAGGTACAGACACAGAAACAGCCTGTTCTGAGCAGGGCTGAAATAGAGGAGTTTATAGACATGATCAAATACAGGATCAGAGTGGATTTAGAACAAGGAACTTCACAGACATGTTTTGGGGAGCTCTTAGACTTATTTAAACTGGTTGAAAAGGAGGAGAATATGCGACCTTTAACCTAACCTGCTAAAAAGTTGTTATAAATGGTATTGTATTAAAACATGGAGTTTATCTTCTTTACTTCATAAGGAAATTGTCCTAAAAAGCATAAAACAACACTTTTAAACAGTGGTTTATAGTTTTTTTTGTAATGTTCAAATCATCAGACTTAATGCGGCTCTCTATAATTCATGTGTTCATTAATGACACACTCTTTTAAGGAGGTCTGACATAAAGAAGAACACAGCAAATTTCATTAAACCACCCAGAGATAATCTGGATTATAATCCAGGGATTATGTTCTCTAATCCAAACGTATCTCTTGATAATGGATAATAACTAATCACCCTCTTGATGAATGGTGGCATAATGTGCCTGACAGAGGAATGAGTTTGTATTTATCAGGAACATGTGACAGTGCCGCCATCTAGTGTTCACTTACTAAAACTCCATCTTCCTTTAAATTGAGTTTCAGATAAGGTCAGTTTGAAAGTATATAAGTGGATTCTTCTCAGTATTCTCTAAATTAGCATCCACTATAAACACTATGATATACTGTTTTCAGTTTGTCTATGTATATCGTATCTGTCACTATGAAACATAAATGATAAAAAATAACTCCACCGAATTGAAATCTGAGCCATGTGAAAGAGGCTCAGAAACGCATATTATATGGAAGATATAAACCAACGATATAATAAATTCATTTTAAACATTAGATTTAACAAGCCTTTTATTGTTAATGGCGGCACAGGGGAGAAATAACTGCAGCCAGTGGATCATTTTTAGCCTTAGTAGGTCTCTCTTCATCTTCCTAAACATCTGAGCAATGTACTGCGGTTTTCAGGAATGGACACGTTTATTGGAGGGTTTCTTAGAACATAATGTCCCAATTACAATTATTTCTTCTTCTTCTCTTCTTCTCCTTCATGACAGATCTTTTCTTATCATTTCATCTGCTCTATTTTTTTTCATCCACCAATTTGTGGCATAAATCTTGAACCTTTTAATTGTAAGCATTGATATGTATTAATCTTACACAGTATTCAGCTATCCAAGCAGACCACAGGATGTAAGTGAAAGCATTGTCTATTTACTGTGTCAGTCGGAGAAGCAGGCCTAAGCAGTTTATAGCCTCTCCTGTAGCGTCCTCACTGGGATTTACAGGACAATCCCTGAGAGTAAGACTATGACAACTTGCTGAGGTTTATCGGGAAGCTTTAAGAAGCACAGAGTTGTACATAGAAATCAAAGAAAGACATTTTCAGTACAAATTACTGGGAAAATGTGACATAAGCATCACGGCTACAGCAACCCTCAAGAATAAAGACATAAACCAACTCCACAATCGACACAGTAAATAAAGATGATGCTCTATTGTTCATTCAATCTGGTATACACAGAGTGCCTATACATGCAAGGAATCATGGGAAACCATAACAATAAGTGAACTTTCAGTAGTCATACATGTCATGCATGCTTAAATATTTGAGGACAGAACGTGGCCTTACCTTCATTCTGACAGCGGATGTTTGTATTTTTCCTCGTCAGCTCTCGTCAGTCAAAGCGAGTGGCATCTCAGCCATGTGTTAAGCGGCGCTGAGGTAATCCACCTACTCTCTCGCTCTGTGTGTGTACTGTATGTGTGTGAGTGACTCAGGGGTGACATATGGCAGCGTGTTCCTTTATTCCAGTGTAACGGGTCAAGTAGCGGCTGGCTAAATCCCTGCTGTCAGAGATACACTGTCATTAAGGATACAAATGATCAATAACAACAACTAACGGAGGTGTTTCTGTCGGGAAAAAAAGAGCATAATTTGAAAAAAAAAAAAAAAAAAATCGTATTATTTGTTATAATCTGAATTCCTTATCCAAAACAAAGGTTCTAATCTTTAATCCCAGATCCAGGTGGGTCGGTTATTTTGGTTTGTTATTATCAACTAAGTCATCAGGATTTACAACACTAGTTTGACATTTAAAAAAAAAATTGATGTGACGTCTACTCCACATGGGTTTATATCTCTACCTAGTTTATTGTCTATAAATTATTAAATTTCCATTGTGGATATCTGACTTATCATCACATACATTACTTTAATAACTCTGGGGGGGACTGTTTGAAAAGGGGGATAATATGTCATCTTTAAGTGCACAGTGATTGGTCCATAAGAATATTTTTTATATAATTTAATCATTTATTTTATATATTTTCTATTATTATTATACTTAGTAAGGGGCTGCATGTTGGGGTGCAGTGGTAAGCTCTGTGAGAACGTTCTCCACATGCATGTATGGCTCTTCTCCCGGTACTCTGACTTCCTCCCAGAATCCAAACACTTGCCTGTTAGGTTAATTGGTGACTGTAAAATTTCCTGTTGGTGTGGATGTGAGTGTGGCTGGTTGTCTGTCTCTATAGGTCAGCCCTGTGATTGACGAGCGACCAGTCCAGGGTGTACCACGCCTCTCACCCAATGACAGCTGAGCTCCACAAACGGGAAAAGCAGTTTACATAATGGATGGATGATTATTATGATTATTATTATCAATATATTATTATAATTATTATTATTGTATTGTGAAAACTGTAATAAAGAAAAATAAATACTTTAATAAATAATAATATAAAGAATTATATACAATTTACTTATTATTATTATTATTATTATTATTATTATTATTATTAATATTATTATACTATATTTCTGAAGGTTCATGTATCAGCCATCACCATGATGGTGCAAATGCAGACAATAACAGTCCCCATGGGGTGAAGTTCTCAGGAAACTCTCTAGTGGATAGTTCCTTCTCAAAAAGTTCCCAGAACTGTTGGAAAACACCTTACAATGGCTTTTATTTTGCCCAGAGGGGGCATAAAGAGAAAAGAGGATAGGACCTAGAATAACTCCTTGAGGACCACCATATCCAGGATGATATTCAATGTTGAATGTTGCTAAAACAGAATTATCGGGACTAACACAGAAATACAAGGCCCCAAAAGTCAAGTAACTTAGTACTAAATCAGCAAACATTGTCTTTGTAAATATGTATTAAATGGAGCAATGTACAGTATGATAGTCCAGTAATGCGGCATACGACAAAAGTGAGAGATTCAGGTTTTGCTGATGTAAATTTATTTTCTAAATTGATTAATTTGGATTTCTATATTAATTTTATTGAGTACATCACTCTTAAAACACCTGCACATATTCAAATGAATAATGGAAGCATGTTAACGCTCAAAGCCCTTGTTATATGTACAGATAGCGGCACGGTTTATCACTTCTAAAATCATAGGCAGAACTGAGAGAAGCAGAAATTGAGCAGTCAAGAAAGTGTTGTGACAGTTTTCTGACTGGGGTTTTCTAATCAGCTGTGATCAACACCCTCTGACTCTGTGTGACAATAACTATCAGTCCATTCAGTCTCTCCACACACATCCGTCTGCAGCCTCCTGCTGGCAGGTTTAATGCCGTAGACTTCATTAGTGGGCAAGGACAGGGTAGGACAGGTGATATTATCGACACAGAGGAGTATGGTGTCGACATGCTGACAGAAAACCACAATCTGACAACTGCTTAAACAGGGTATCAACTGCTCAATGAATTGCCTTTAAGGTACAAATATTTCACCAGTGGTAAAATACATTGGCCTAAGTAAAACAAACCTTCCTACCAAAGAACAAAAACGAGTAAAACACAAACACTACGTATTACGCGTATACACGCTGCTTCCAAAGCTTACACTCACGGTGGCATAAAGGCTAACTGTGTCCAGGGTTGACTAAATGAAGGAAATCTAACAAGTTCATAAAAATGTTACTGTTTCCTGAACAACTGAAGAAACAACAAGCACTGAAAATCTGGAGGGACATTAGGCCATTTTAAAATGTAAAACGACATATTTGATCACCCATCAGTTATTATCAGACAACAGCTAATGTTAGCATTCGACCAGTTTCTTGCTTAAGTGAAGTAAGCTGGTGCTGTTGTATTTAACGTAAGCTAGGAATTGAATCCTTACCTATCGATCTTTTTAGCACTATCAAACTGTGATCCTTGTATTCAGCCAATTCCTAGCTAACACTAGAAATAAGATAGGAAGTTTATGCTAACATTAGCAGTTCTTTGATGTAAACAAATGGGTTTGTTTTGCTTTGTCTTCTCTTCCCATAGTCTACCCTTTGTGAGTGTGCCAGGCTATGGGATGTCCTCTCTCTCACATCCATCTACAGACTCCTTACTCAGTTTTTCCTCTTTTCTCTTTTTCTTTTCTTGCATTTTGTTTGGATTTTTAAAATAGTTTTTAAGTTGATTTATAAATAAAGTCATTGTTATTATGGTGCTTTCCATTTCCCTCGAAAGCCGAATGTCGGAGCTGCGAATGACGTCACACCCCATTTAACCACGTTCCAGTTACGAGTGGTAACAAGGTGGAAAAGCCATGTTGGATTTAACTCGGGCTACTGAAGTTCGAGGTTTCTGAGTCGGGTTACTGACTTCAGGGGGCGTTCCTGATGACATATCAGACTGGCTACTTAAAAATGTTCGACTTTCGAGATCAAATGAAATGCACAATAAGAGTGTGATAACACAAAAAAAGTTCTGTGAGTGGGTTTGATAGCGGTAAGAACTAGCATGGAGGGGGTCGAATCTGTGAGGCCACAGCTTATTGTTGAGCCTTACAGAGTTGACGTGGGCCTTATTCAACAAATGGTTTAACTCTAAACCATTAAATTAAGCAGTTTTCGCTTCATTTGTGCACAAGTACCTTCTATTTAATTTAAATGATCTACAACATGAGCCCATGTCCCTCTGTTTTTTCACTAACCACTGTCCTTTGCAGTTGCTGATCAATCAGAAAGCTCTCAAGATTTTGATTTATATCAGTTTTGCTACATTTGTGACTAACAACATGGATAAGGTAGTTGCTTGTTACATTATAACAGCATTTTAGCTTCCCACCATTAGTTTGATGTCGGACAAAAATGGCTCCCATGTGAAAGGGGGGGAATAACTGGCATCGTAATTATCTGTCCATCTCATCTTGATAACTGTGGTTGCCAGGCGGGTGGTGATGCTGATGATGATGGTGATGATGATGGGGTTGATGATGGTGATGATGAGTTTTATTGTGACTTGTATGGTGCTCATGGTGAGGCTGATTCTGGGGACTATGATGGAGGGGCTGGTGGTGATGATGGTCATGATGATAATGATGGTGTTTAGGAGACATCATAGGAGTGGTGTCCACATCTCGATCATCAGTTTCCAATTGAGGTGTGGGTGTTGTGCTTGAAGAGTTGATATTTAACTGTGTTGTCATGTTTTTTATGGTGCTGTTGCGGCCACTTGATGATGCATTATTAGCCTGCAAAGACAATGACGTTAGAATTAAATTCTACTTTGCTAGTTTAAATATTGGTATGCATTAATTTACAAAATTGACATCAGTCTTTATAGACAAAAACTTGAAACAAGCCATTGAGAACATGAACTCATTAAGTGAAAATTGACTAAGTTCTGAATCAAGTAAGACGTAGGTGCATTCTCTCATTTTGTTGCATTCAATCAGATTTCGCAACCTGTGCAGTCGCCCCTTACTGGTCATAAGCTTATCTTTGGCTTTGTATACCGTTCAGAGCTTGATGAGTCATCAGCTGTGTTTATGTTTTACAGGAAAACACAAATTGCGATCATTAGAAAAAATCTAAGAAATTACTTTTGTCCAATTGTTCGACCACAAACTACTGAAAATTACTTCAGAATGAATGGTTGTGTCTTTTTACAACCAAACATGTCCTCATGTATGTGTTTTGTGATTACTTACAGAGCAGTTGCAAATGTTTGTTTGATAAGTGGCCCTGATGGCAGCCTCTATGTAGGGGTAATGCAAGAAACTGTAAGGCAGCACGATATGGAAGGTGAGCAGTCCACACCTGGAGAAAAAAGGGTGACAGAGAATAAAAATGCAGATGAGAATTACTGCTATTTTATTAGCTGTTTTCACAATGTGATATACTAAATGATGAGTCATGTTTATACCTGCAAGATGCATTTTAATACCCCTTCATTGTTGTGATTTTAACACCTTTCAAAAGTGTAACTTCCAGTTAAAAACACACACGTTGGTGGTTTCTTCCTTTTTTTAAATGAGCATGGAGTAAAGCCAAAATGATGACACAAGACAATACTTGCAAGACGAGAGAGCGAGGACAAATTCAATTAATCTGTGCATGTTTTGTTGGCACTAATCTCGTGAAAACGTACTTTGGTTGTGACATTACAATCTCTAAGTGTTGAGGAGTTGGCTCCTTACCGATCGTAAACCAGGAAGTCGTCTTTGTCTCCATCCAGAGCCTCCCACACATCGTTCTGAAGTGGAGCCTGCTGGTACACAGGAACACCAGGGGACGCTCTTCTCTTCAGCTCCCAGTACATGGCCCTGGACTGAGCCTCCCGCTCATTTACTATCATAAACGACACCTCAGTCATGTTGTTGCGTTTAAGCTTGTCACGCAGGCCTCCAATCCTACAGACAGACATATAGAAAATGAGGTGAAAGCTGTGAAGAGCATCACCTGCTTTTCCAGACAACATTTGAACTCTTTCATTTGAACTCAATATCGGAATCAGTCCTTTTTTTGAAAAGTATGAAGTCCCATAAGTTAATTATTGTGTCATCTACCTTTAAAGAATAATCTTAAGAAAAAGAAAATGTGTATTTCCATGCATTTCCTTACTTGGAGGCCTGAGTGAGACAGAACTGTCAGCTTGCCTTCAGCAGCGCCACCACAACCACACTTCCCAGCAGCTCTTGCATGGGCGCCTTTCCTTTTATCTCCCAGTAGGGGGCAGGTTTGCAGATCCTGGAGGCATCATTGTCCCCCTCCACAATCAGACTGACATGTGAGGCCCACAGCAGACCTGGCAGGGCTGTGCACAGCCACAGCGGCGAGAGAGAGCGCATTGTGCCTCCCTGGCTGGACTGATACTACCTGACGAGAAAGATGAGCGAGAAAACAATGTTACTTTAACATTTTAAAAAGCAGTTGATACAATGACAAGGTGGTGCGGCATGTGGCCTTTTTGCAATGTGTAATCATATTATGAGACAAATATCCCAAAAAAAAAACAATCAAAGAAAAAAATGTGAAGTTCATTCATTTTAATCATGCAATACCTGTGCCAAATCTCTACTCTGTATATAAAGCATTCAGTAATGAATGCATTCTGTGAACAACAAGAAAGCACATTCAGTCTTTGGCAGATTTCCCCCACGGTGAACAAAATCTCCAGTCAGTCTGATGCCCAAATAATTAAAAGAGTAAACCCTCATTGTCTTTGTCATCACATGTGGAGATAATCTGCAAAAAGAGTTTATTATGCAGAAAACAGAGGGAGGAATGTCGGGGGGCAAAGGGACAGCAGGCTGGCAGACAGCCACACAAAGACAGGCCGGGACAGAGATGTTTACAGCGTAAAGAACTGTACTGTCTAAACAAATCAATAAAGATAAAAATGTGGATACATGAGACGTAAAATTCATTTTACTCAAATAACAGACATTAAAATCTACATTTGATCTCAGTAAGTATGTCAGTGCATGGGGAACCAACTTCAAAAATACAGTTTTAAAACATGCATGAATTGAATATGTCCCATTTACAGTGTCAAATTAAATTGTATTTTGTTTAAATGGACATAAATAAACCTGAAATGCAATGATCTACCTTCAGAATGAGAATAGAAATAATTTTGATGAACAAAAGTAACATTCTGGAAAGACAACAAAATCCCATTCTAGATGAAAGTCTTATCGTTACTTACATAAACCAAACACAAGCCTAAAAAGAAGCTCTTACCTCTTCCTTCCCTCTGTCCTGTGACCCACAAAAACAAACAGCAAAGCTCTGTTGTTTTTAAAGACTGTGGGGGTTGATGAAAGCACGTCCCCCAAATCAAACAGAGAGAGAGAAAGAGAGAAAGAAGAGAAAGAGAGAGAGAGAGAGAGAGAGAGAGAGAGATTATATCTGTACTTTAACATACTCAGTGTGTAGTAATACCCCCCTCCCCTTTAACGTTTTCATGTTGACATATCAACAGAAAGGGCAAAAGAGATACTGGCAACATTAACGATAGTGTTTTTTTTGGGTTATGCTGATTCCCGGTGGCGGTTTTGTGCATGCTGATTCACTCGATGTTATGGCTTACTGGGAATGTAACAGAGCCATTGTTGATGTCATTTGTTACTGCGTGATGTCATGACACTTATTTACTTATTGCACACAATAAATATCAAGCGGTCAACTCCAGGGTTAAAAAATTACGCCAAGTGCAAAAAACTGCAGTCCCTTGAGTGTCCACTTGCGGCTTGCTCCAGAAGGGAGTAGTAAAATAGTCACATTAAAAAAGAAAAAAAAAAAGAATTATGATAAGGTTTAGTTTTTACTTACCGCTGAATGAGACATGAGACGACACGTTTATACGGGAGCGTGCCTATGTTCCCACATTTCTATGTTCCCACAGCCCTATATTCCCACATTTAAGATTTTTTTTTTTAAATTAGGCCCTATGTTGCCACATTTCCTTTTTCATAACTTTGTATGCTGCTGCATAAAATTACTCATTCATTTACTATAAAGTGCTTCTAAAAAAATCTTGTGGGAGGATAGGGCTTAAATTGAAGGGAAATGTAGGAACACAAGACCTAATTTTGAAAATGTCCTAGAAATGTGGGTACATAGGGCCTCATTTTCAGTGAGTTTTGTGTAAGATCAAATAAACTTCTCGTTTTTCACATACATAAAATTATTGAGTAATATTTACTTTTTAATGTGTGTGCCAGGCTTCAAACGGCTTTAGGCTACACTAGAGGTGAATGCCACCATGAGACAAACAAGACCGTGGTTCCAATTTTGTAAAAGAGGCCAAAATCAATGACAGCCTGCATGAGAAGGTCACAGCGTCCAAAGTACTGCAGAGTGTTTCGTCATCAGAAATGTGATCTGTTCTGTATACATGTGAAGTATTGATCAGTCTTTACAAATCTGTGCAACATTTGTAACTTGTCGTGTAAATATTTTCACTTTAATTGCTTCTTCATGTAGTAGTTCAGCTCGGGTAACAAGCAAAACAACATCTCTTATCTCTGGTGTGAGTGATTTGTTCAAAGTGCACTGTGAGCCCAAGTATTTTGTGTCACTCAGTGTCACTCTTATGTAGGGTTAAGATAACTTAGACAGAAGCTGATCACAACACCTGATGGGTCAGTGAGCCGTTTTCTTTTAACTACAGAAGTATTAGACAACACAAGAGTGTTTTTTTTTTTTTTTACTGATGTGGGTGCTGATACTGTTACTGCCTTCACCTGTCAGTGCAGACCTTTGTACAATATACCTTTAAATGTAATGTAATGTAATATATGCCTCTCTCATTATTAAACATAACAAAATATTCTTTGATATAACTGTTTAATGTATTTTACTGAACTGGCAGGGTCCTTTTAGAAGTTCATTGTATGGTTACTCCATTCATACTGTTTCAGAAGTTAGTTCTGTTCTCATAATTTAAAGTTATATATATTGTATATTTACTAAATTAAACCTTCTTCGATTAAAAAAATAGTTAGGGGTGCAGACAGTTCACTGTTTTGGCGCCCCCTGTGGACAAAGTGGAGTGTGTTTTATCTTTTCATGACTGTCTCCAACGAGTGAGAAGCACGTGTCCTGCCGGCTGTGTTGTTGTGGCAGCCGTGTTTACATCAACATTTTACACATAAATATAGCAGAAATCATGTATTTCTGAAATCATGTATATCCTGTGAAAATATCTCTCTGAGCTATGACTGTATTATCTAAAATGAGTGAGAATAACATGTCCCTGGATGTGTTGTCACAAGGGGAGGGGGGGTCGGAGGTGTGCCGCTGGAGGAGAGCGGAGGTGTCGCCCAAACAGGAGCTGGTTTTGGTTGCATGCTGGTGCTCAAGGGTGACCTCTACTGGATCAAGAAGTCACACATTCTTCTTTTAAGGAAATGAATCCAAATTGTGTTGACAACTTTTTTTTTTTGACACAAAGCCAGACTGTTGAACTGAATGTTAAAATACTTAAATGTTTCTAGACATTCATTTTTATTCAAGTTGTGTGCTGCTGCATCATCAATGATACATATATGGGGGATTCTTCCCCCACAACATAAAGCTTGTATATTGTATATAAAGCAGTTTATAGTGTAACATATTTAAATGCCTCCATACTTCTTCTGAAATCTTTACACTCTGGCTACCTTACCCACAACATGAGCTGCTCTCAGAAGGAGTCCTCTACCGACAGATCTGTTGGCCAACATTAACAGGACGAGGATGAGAACTTTTTTTCTTGATATGAGCAAAACTGATGACAACTTTTCTTTCAGAAAATGTCAGGTGGAAAACAAAGCTTGAGGTGATTTTGAAATGGTGCCGTCATACAGTTTGTTCAGCAAAGTGTGCTCTGTTGGGATAGTTTACAATACTTTCAGCACTACCTGCAGCAGATGTAGCAGAGCATCACAGCTGAGCAATCACTCCACACTGTCGACAATGTCCAGTACTTTTTTTGATTTGCTTAAGAAAGCAGCCTCATGAGTGAATGAACACAGTCATAGCGGTGCAAAATCATCGCATGTGATGTAAAAAAAAGTGCATTTTCATTCCCCTCTTACACCTGTATCATATGAAGTCCCAAGAAAGTCATCTGTGTTGACTCTGCTCAGTACACTTGAGTATCTTGACTTCACTGCCTGTGAAACACTGGACATTAAGCACGACCAGAAGATTGAACAGACCTTTTGCAAATCATGGGTCCACTGTCAAACACATCAACAATCCATTAATGGTAGTCTACTTCGACTACATCGCTCATCTCCACGCACAAGGCAGCACATATTGGAGCTCCACATCGTCATGGTGAGAAACACCACAGACCACAAGCCCCAGCAGCTGGAGATCTCCAGCACAAATGTGTGACAGTTCAAACAAGTGAACTCGCAATGTCTGTCAATAAAAGGACACATGTTCAGTCTTTAAAGGATGTGGTAAAGAGGAACCATTTGGCCATCGTCTGTCACACCCTAACAGAGCATATTCTGAGGTGTTCCCTTTGTTAAAATTAACAAAAATCAGGACAAAACGCCGATCAGTTCCTCCTCATCATTGTCTCCGACCCCTTCTGTGGGGCTGTCACAGGACGCCATGAGCCCCAGGCCCAGCTCGGCCAGCTCCTCGCAGCTCATGTCGGTCGTCACCATGATCTTGGTCTCCAGGCGGTTACACAGAGTCCTGTAGGAGGGCAAAGGGTAGCCCAGCTCTCTCAAGTACTCGTAGCCTTTGGTGCCGACTGCGCAGCGGATCTTTCGGGCCTTCAGGATGGTCTCCGGAGACCAGACGGCACGGCGGGAGCGTTTGCTGAGGGACAGGGCACGAATCTGGTCCTCGTACAGAAAGTTCTGGAGGCCTTTCTCGATGCGGTCGAGTCGGTAAAGACGCTTTTTCATCTCCTCTGCCTGAAAGAGACATTTCAGAGGACAATTTTAAGGGGGTATTAAATGAACATGAACCATACTGATGTCCTCTCCTAATTAATGCTATAAGGCAGCTGCTCATGTCAAGCCAACAGTTAAATATCTCTGGGATTTAAGCTCAAATCTGATCTTATTTACATGGTTTGAACTATAACATGGTCAGGAAGATGTATTGGTTATAAATAAATGAGAGAAAAAAAAACAAGAAAGACGTTTTTTTATTCAAAGAGACACAAACGGCTATCCTACCTCCCTCTGTAGCCTCGCAGTGTGCTGCATCTCCTGCTCCAGCTGTTTCTTGAGGAGTTGACAGCGCGTGCAGGGCTGATGGTCTTCGGCGTCCTCATCCTCCATGCCGGGCAGAGGTGTGCGTCGGGCATAGCCGTGGTCCCCAAAATTCAGCTCCTTCTCTACTACAGACACAGAGCAAGGTCTCACTTATGTTGTTTTTTTTTTTCTGGCATACATTCGGTACATTTTACACATATAGTACCTGGACTAACAAATATGCCACCTGAGCTGAAATGTGAGAAATCACAGTCTGCTACACCTGTTAAACTAAGGAAGGACACAGGTACAACTATCGTAGGTAACAGCTCTTTTTATGCTCCATAGAGGAAGGAAAGAAGTCAGTAAATATATATATTATACCCTTATGCTGCATTTCTACCTCTAAATTCCCCATGATCTTACACCCTATTGTTTTCAGTTTACATTTTGTGCATTTCAGTCATATATTGTAAATATTAATAGATGAAGCCTGAGTGGCATCACCCATCTGTTACTGCAGTGGGGCTGCAGTGTCTCATCATCATGCTGGAAATACAGTCTCCGGTTGTTTCAGTCAACCTAACGACAGGCTTGAGAGCTGGAGCAGGTCTGAAGCCTACCTGATGAACCATTACATCGCGCCCACCTGTCAGTCACGTCAGATAAGCGCCTAACTATGAATACCGCTTATTTTTTTCAAAATAAAAACTGAGCTGTTTAAAAAAAAAAAAAAGCAAGTGATGACAATAAATAGTCAGACCTATTTTTTGGTTATTTTGTACCAGGCTGTAAACATGTTTATTTCTGCAGTAAAAACGAACATTTATGATCGGGGTGTGTATGTGACTTTGGGGCTCTTGGAGCAGACCCTTGACGAACTGCAGGATTTTGCACTTGGCTTCATTTTTCAACACCGGAGGTTTGCCGCTTGATTTCAGTCCAACACCCAACTCATAATCTTTTGATCACATTTAGCCGAACAGGGAGGTCAGCTGCAGAAGTGTTTTTTTTTTGTTTCATCTTTGATTAAAAAAAAAAAAAAGGAAACCCTGTTCAGAGAGAGTTGCTTTGCTCTGTCTGAATGCCGTACACAAGTTGTTGCATATCTAAGGCTTGAGTTTTGACAATATCCCGCACAGAAACACACAGTTCAAAGCTGGGTAGAAAGAGCTACCTTTTAGTTCAGGAACTTTTCAGGTACCAGGAACCTGTGGCCAAGGAACCCATCAGACCTCTCACTAAGATCTAACATCGCACAGCGTATGTAAAGATGATTTGATTGCACGCTCAGATACCTGGTTCTGGTTTCATGGGCATTAGGATGTATTGAGTAGTGGCTGCAGGGTAAGGAGGGTCTGCACTGCTGAACAGAGTGGGGATGGCATTGGGCTTCAGCTTCCTCCCTCCAGCTGGAGACCTCGCAACCTCTTCAAACTGGTTCTGCTCAAAATGATCCTGTTACAAAAAAAAACACACACAAGAGAGGATATTTACATAATTTATCCAACTTATAAAGACACCAAAACACAAGAAACATTACAAGCACAAGCACAAATCCAGGTATGACAGGTGGATAAATATACACCTGTGTGGGTCAGATTACCTGACAGAGTCTGGAGTGAGGAGTTGGTTCAAAGTCTCGTTTACAGTTCACCAACCATTTCTTCTTCCTGACGGGGTCTTTGGGGAACCTGAACAGCTGTTTACCTATGCTGGTTGAGTTGGAGCAGTTTGGAGCTGAGCAGCCACCCATTGCTGCAGCAGAGATAAATATAACCCCCGTCAAGAGGAGCCTGGCTCAGCTGTAGATTTGTAATAATCACTTTTTATCAAACTATGTACGAGGTGTTTAAAACAGGAAAAGTAACCTCTGCGATATACAACAACTAGTGGAAACACAGGTGATCTCCTGACGACTTTTCACTTCCTGTTTATGGATAAAATGTCAAATATGTCCCAGGGATAAAATGTTTCTGACTTTGTTTGAGCCAAAATGGCGGACTTCGTGTCGACGGTTAAGAATGATGACGCATTGTTTGTGCGTGTCCATGAAACAGCCTGCTTGATTGATTTAGCTTTAAAAGCGCCAAAAGGCAAACGGGGGTAACACAGCAAATCAAAAAGTGGCCAATTCTGTATAAATGTTTGGATTTTAGTACGATTATTAATTTTATACAAACATTTAGCGGCTTGGGATGTTTCCTTTACACTCAGGCACAGGTCAGACTACTCGTAGCTTTCTCCGCAGGACCCCCTGAAGCACGTTGAAGTGTTTACGGTGGAGGAGCGGCAGGCTGCGGATTCAAATAAGTGCGAATAAACTCTTATTAAAATAATCACTGCATGTATGACGATGCCAAAGAAACAACGTAGACACATAATGGCCGATAGTTAAAGTATTAGCAGCCTTTTTTTATTTATTTTTTACGTTTGCTAAGTTTCATTAGCATTACAGGAAGCTGTCGGTGGCTGCAAACACGTTTATAGGTTTTGCTGTTTTTATAGGTTAAAGTTGAGACAAACATGGCATCTTCATTGGTAGTTCCAGTGATTGATGTCCAGAATGATAACCTCAAAGAGCTTTGGCCTGCTATGGTTATAGCTATCAAATCATCTTGTTTTGTTGCAGTGGACACGGTAAGTGCAGCTCTGTGTGTCTTCATGTCTGTATCAGTATCTTTACCTGCGTGGCTCGTTTACACCTGTCATCACTGTTTACACCATTAACACCTCTTACCTCCAGCAAAGTTTGTTTACATTCAGTTAGTTAGTTTCTACGCTATTTTTAATTTATTTTTAATTTATTTTTAATTTTAATTTAATTTAATTTAATTTAATTTAATTTAATTTAATTAATTTAATTTTATTTAATTTTATTTATTTTATTTAATTTTATTTTATTTTATTTTTGCATTGTTATGGAGAGCTTGGAACACAAAAATGTCATTGCCAGCTATGACTGCTTTGCCTGGTCTGTTGTGCGCTTGACTAATAAAGATAACTTGAACTTGTTAGACATGCTTGACAAATTTATGTATTTCATTTTTCACATTTTAGACTTTAGAAGTGCATATATTTCTTGTTATTCTTACTTAAAAAAAAATATTTTTAGTGCTTATTTACTTATTATTATATAGTTTTATTTGCTCTGATAACCTGCTGCTGTAACGCCACAATTTCCAGTTTGGGATCAATAAAGTAAATCAATCAATCAATCCGTCCGTCCGTCCAGATAGATAGATAGATAGACAGTTCACCGATTCTTCTATGTCGCTCTTTGTTCTGTCAATTGATTCTGCAGGTATACGAATACATTTTAAAAAGAAGTATTTGTTCCCTGTGTTGTTTTAGGAGCTGAGCGGTCTTGGAAACAGAAAATCCCTGCTGGCTCAGTGAGTAAATAGATCGCCTGAAACACTGATGGACAGGTTGTCAAGCTGAAGGTCATGCATGCAAGCGATCTAATCTTGTGTCCTGTCATGTTTCAGATGTATAGAAGAGAGGTATAAAGCCATCTGTCACGCTGCTCGCTCTCGCTCCATCCTCTCTCTGGGAATCAGCTGCTACAAGAAAGTGGAAAACAAGGTAAAACAGGACAACGTTTTCTTCAACTGTACAACTTCCACTCAGAGCTTTGGTCATATGTATGAATATTCTGAGCATGTGATACTGGTGTTAATGACAGTTGCATGGTTCTCAGAATTTTCACAAGTATCTCTTTTGTGATGTCGATGTCGTCTTAACCACTCCCCCCTTGACCAGGCTGCAGACACGTACCTGGTCCAGGTGTATAACATCACCCTGCTGTGCTCAGAGGAGTACATCATAGAGCCTCAGTCAGTGCAGTTCCTGGTCCAGCACGGATTCGACTTCAACAAGCAGTACGCACATGGAATCCCTTACTGGAAAGGCAACAATAAGGTGCTGATGATACTTCCATTCTGCTCTGTGTTTTGTGTTATTCTTGTGAATCTGTGCCGCACTGTTAGGCCCCTTAGTTCATCACTACAGCTTTATTTAACCCATCATATCCTGGTTCACCTGTGACAGGTGAATGCTAGTGTGATCATGGCTTACACTGTGATTTGTAGCTTGTTGAAGGTGATCTGATAGGTCTAAATTAGAAAAGTTAGATGAGAATCTTACCCACGCTGCAGCCCACCCGTCTCACCAGGACACCTTCACCAGTTTGATTCGACACAAAGTTACTGGAAGGTGATCGGGGAGTTTTTCAGAAGACTAAGAGATTAAATTCCGAACAGCAAAGTGGGATTTTTCTGTGTAACTGTACAGAATCAACTAAAACAACTTTTTCTGACACAAAACACTTCAAACAATTTGAAGTAGAGCCCGACCGATAAATGGGACGGCTGATAATATCAGCCAAATTAGCATGTCATGTCACTATTATTTTCTCTCCTATATGAGCCGATATAACTAGGTTTATTGAATTTAAGTAATTTTTTAAATATTATTTATACCTTTATTTATAATTGTTAATTTCCTAGTAAAAATAGTGTTTCAGTGCACTGATGCTATTCTGGCCAATAAAGGTTTTTGTTCAACTGTTGAAAAAATCTTCATTCTAAATCTTTTTCACAAGTGTTTGATATCAACATTTGATGGACCAACTCAATAAATGTGTGTGTATATCTATATCTGCTTCTAAAAATCTGAGATATTTCTGAGAAAAATATCGGCCGATATATCAGTATCTGAACTTTTTTCACCCTAATATGGGTCTCGGTATCAGCCCCAAACATCCTGTATCAACCAGGCCCTAGTTTCAGTACTCCTAGAATAGATATTTATAAATACACTTTAATGTAAAGAAAAATATTCCAGTTCCCCTTTGAAATGATTACCAGTATGCTACAAACGTCGCAGACTACACAGCATACCATCATTGTATTTATTTATTTAAGTTTGTGCGTCCCATTGTTTGTTTTTGTTTATTAAAATGGGGAGTCCTGTGAATGGTCATTTGTCTGCTTCTTGTGTGTCTGGATTTGTGCATCACAAAGGATTATATCCATGGATGTGCAGAGGTTTTATCTTTCTGATGTGAAGTATAAAGAAGTAAATATTAAAGCATCGTTATTGTACTGGCAGATATAACAAAGATTGAGAAACAACAAAATCAACTGCCCCTCTCTGGTCAAAGTATTCGAGCTATTAGTCGTCTTCTCACGCTCTACCTTCTCATTCAGGGAGGATCAGACGACCGGGGCGTGCACATCAGGGCCTTATTCACTGAACTGCTGCGGGCCAGGAAACCTCTGGTGCTTCACAACGGCCTCATCGACATGGCCTTTCTTTACCAGGTACGATCAAGTTACAAAGTGTGCAGTGCAGATTCACATGTTCTTGCACTTCACACCATCTTACCAACTTGTTGTTGGTGTACGAGCAGAAACTTTTTGGACCTTTTTAAGTAATGTTCATTTATATTTGAAATAAGGTGACTGTAAATTTTGGCGATTCAGCTTATCAGAATTTCAGATGAGCTCCTTAATTTCACTTTTAATTGACTCACTGTATCGTGGCCACTTTTTTGTGTTTTCCCCTGATTTCCACCCCGAGCAATATTGTAAAAAAAAACATTCAATTTTGTGTCTTTCTTCCAGAGTTTTTACGCTCATCTACCGGATCGCTTGGCCACCTTCACGGCCGACCTATCAGACATGTTTCCTGCTGGAATCTACGACACAAAATATGTCACAGAGTTTGAGCTCCGCCTCACCGCCTCCTATCTGGAGTATGCCTATAAGAAATGGTGAGCCTGTAGTTTGAAGTGTGTGTGTTTATTACTCTTTATGTTAGGACATATTACTGTGTGCTTTAAAAACATTATCTCCCGTCTCTTGCAGTAAGCTTGACAACAGTCGCAGTGTGACCTCCGGAGGCGTCGAGCCTCACGTCAACATAGAGTTCTGTCAGTACGGGGGTCAGATGTCCAGATATGTGGACTACAGGCCGTGTCCAGCTGTGGCTCCTCTTGAGGGGCAGACTAACATCTGTCAACGCTTCTCTGTGAGTTTTTCTATTTACCGTTTTAACCCAGAGGAATCTTTCAGTTTTATGACTTTTTGTTTCATGAGTTGATGTAATGTTTGTATTAAGCAGGGCTGTGTAACGTCAGGGTTAATGTACAGTATAGTGGGCAGGTTGTGATCTCAGAATGAAACTCTACAGAGTGAGCAGGACCCCCATGTGAAAGGGAGAGCGAGGTCTTGGCTCCCCCTGTAGGTATTTCTCTGCTACGACAACCCGCTCACTCTCATTATTCCACTTCTTAATACAGCTTCTTACAAAATAAATCATGTGACATACATTTTGATTTGGAAATTAGTTTATGACATGATTTACTTTAACCCCTAACAAATAGTCACTTGGACTATGCAGTTAGAGCTGTGTCCATAGCAACGGTTAATTCTGTAGCCGTCTTAACTTTAGGTAACTTAGCGGTTATTACTCATATGAACTGAACATTTCCTCTCATGGTGAAGTGAGATTAAGTGAACAAGCCCGTGTAAATCAACGCATGCAGCATCCGTTTGATTATTTTCATCTTGTCAACGTTGGAGTCTTATTCAAAACAGTTTTACCTCTCACCATCTTAGAATCACACCCATATCTAACACATTCTGTCACCTGTTTACTGCATGTGGCTTCTTCAGTTTAGTAGATTTCTCTGAAGTTTTTGCATCTTTCTCAAATAAACCGGAGCGATGTGACTACAGTTGAGGGCCTCTCGGATAAGATGCTGAGGGTGCCGTGTGCCATAAAAAAACAGCACAATGACATAAATACATACATTAAAAACATAACTACCATGGATATCACCATGATGGATGTGAGTGAGATAAGGGACAAAAGACCAACAGTCCATCGTAAAAGTGTACAAGTGTAGTGTTTTTTTATTTTATTTTTATTGTGTGAGTGTGTGTATGCACATTTTGGTGAATAAAAGTTGAAAAATAAATAAATAAAACATTTTAAAAAGTGTAAAAAAGAGTTGCAGCGTATCTGCGCGAGCTGAGCAAGGTCCCGCTTCCTGTCCGTGCGGGATGGAGGAAATGATCAACTTGGGACGCATTATACCGTGATGTCACCTCTGCACGTCTAATAGGAAGGAAGATCAGATCGCAGAAAACGGTGTCCCACTTTCCTGAGCTTCACTTTAACCACCAGTTTAAACACCTACAGAGACACCGGCAAGAAAGCATTTCCAACAGTTCCCTCTCAACAGGACCAGATGTGTTTTAAAAAGAGGCAGAAATCTGTGTCGTGCTTGTGAAGTTATCGTTATAGAGCTGCAGCTACTGGACGAGCCTAAACTCTCCCCAAATCCTGTCGTACTCATTAACACACGATTTCATGAACACACACACACACACCCTCCTTTTCTCTGCTGCTCGTCTCCTCCTCCTCCTCCTCCGCAGAGGAAAGTCCAGATTTAAACGGAAAAGTGGACAGATACATTATGCATCCGTAAAGTGACTACTTTCCCGATTTCTTTAATGCGCAGATGATTGACGCGTGTGCTCGCTCCTCCCCTGCTGTGCCCAGCGCACGCCTCGTTCTATCTGAACGCCTCTTGAGTCCTCCAGATCCGTTGATTAGAACCGCATCCCTAGCAACAGCCAGCTCTTCATAGCAATCTATCGAGGGATAGCAGCAGCCGTTGCTATGCGTGTTTAGCAAATCAGAATCAAGTATTAAGCAAAGCCGTGTAAAAGCATCTTTTGACTGTAACATTGTGAGGACAGTCTAAGTTGAACTAATATCGTGTCGTTGTCCAGAGAATCCATGAATCATATTGTGATGAAACTTGTGGTTTACACCCAAAAACAGAGAAGAGAAGAGACGGGCAGAATATAACCAGTTAGTAACTCTGTGTGAAACCTTTTATTAACTCCAGTTTGTTGTCACACAGGCGTTCGGATGGTGTCCAAATGGCACAGAGTGTCCGTCGTCCCATGACACCGACCTGATCATCCTCCAGGACGAGAAGAGCTCCGGGGACAAGAGGAAAAAGAGGAAGAGACAGAGAGAGAAGAAGAAAGGTGGAGGCAAGGCCCCGGACGCCTCATCCATCTTTGACGCTGCCCCCGAAAACAAAATTCCCCGCATGGAGGTGGATCTTGCAGAGACACCAGGTGAACAGCAGGGGGCCGAGCCTTTAAACGACAGAGACGGAAACTCTGAACAGAATGCGGAAGAAACCACGAGACAAGATGGAGATGGGAACGGAGCGTGTGACTCTGCAACAACCGCCACAACTTCTGACGTCATGGACACGACTGCAAACACAAAGGAAGGCGAGGAAAGCGAAACAAAAGAGGAAGAGAGAGAGAAGCCGAGTGGTCTTCCATCTCAGTCTAACAACCACAACAAGAACACAGACACAGGAACTCACCGGGCGGGCTTCGATGCCTTCATGACCGGCTACATCTTTGCCTTCTCTTGTTCACAGTTCAAGAAGGGCAGAGTGGGAGCTGTGGAGGGGAAGGTGCAGCAGAAGGAGGAGGAGGAGGAGGAGGCGGCGTTGCTTCCCTCTTGTCTTAATAAGGTTTACCTGAGCGGCAAGGCAGCACCTCTCAACGTGGTCAAAAGCACCTTCTCCAAGTCTTCAAAGGCTCATGTGCAGAAGATGGAGACTGTGTGGGGGGACAGGGTGTAGGGTTCTCTCTTGGACACAGAACATCGTGACTGTCAACATGTGAAGTCGATTTTTTTATAACAGGAGCTCCGTGGGTAGCGATGTTGTTTTCAAGCAAATGGATTTTTTAAATATTGTACACCGACATTCAAGTTTCTCAAGATGGAGTACAAAAAATGTCCAGATGTTTTTTTTTACTTTATCTCATTATGACGTTGACATTTTTGGTAAAACATCCAGGTAGATTGACCCCCCCCCCCCTTCTTCCCCCCCATGACTTTCTTTTCGTCATTTTTTGTTAATGACACATCACCTGCAGAATTTATACTGCTAGCTCAGCCTTAAAAGTCATTTATGTTAACTGCTGATTATTCACGATTAGCATGTTAGCATTGAGTCACTTTGAGCCTGTTAGCATGCTCAAATGAGCTGTTCACACAAAGCACTGCAGAGCATTTTTACAGTCTCACAGAGCTGCTAGCTTTCATTTAGACTCTTGTTGTTCATGTCTGTGTGTTTAAGAGCAATCGGCGAGTGATGGGATTTATTGTTTGACATTTTAAGAATAAGGAACAACATGGTGGAAATGGCTTTTTTTATTTTCTAGGGGGGGGGGTGCTCAGACTGATTTAAGAAAACTCACATTCACTTCATTGATTTGGATCAGTTTTAATCTCCCTTAATGTTTTTATGTTGTTTATAACAGTTTTCTGTAGGTTCTGGACGTACAAATAAATCAGCCATGAAAGATACCGTGGTGAATTCTGTGAAACCAACAATTCATTTTAATGTAGAGGCACTTAAACTTAGTCAGCAATTTGTTTTACCACATATCTTAATGTGCCTGATTTAGTGTAACATCCTGTTACTTAAGTTACCTCTTCAAAATAAACTCATGCTCTTTAACAATCACTCTCACCTCTCTATGTCCTGTTCCAGCTCCTTCTGCTCTCTGAAATAACTGTGTTATCCTATAAAGTCACTTCAAGTCAATAGACAAACCTGGTTAGTATATAAGTCAAGAATAGACAAGTTAAAGTTGGATCAGAAGAAAGAATGATTATTTTTTAATCATTGAAATATTGTAGTTTTTGTTACTTTGTTAGTTCGCTCCATGGCTGTTTAGAAACCACTGCAAATGAAATGATTGCTCTTATTGTTTATTATTTAAAAGAGCAATGGTAAAAATTAACAAATATTATTTGAAGAAAATAAACAGACCCACACTTTTCCCCAAGTTTTTTTTTTTTGGGGGGGGGCTTTTTTATGCTTTTATTCAGAGACAGGACAGTGGATAGAGTCTGACATCGGGGCGGAGAGAGGGGGGGGAATGACATGCAGGAAAGAGCCTCTGTACACACGTGCACTAACCACAAGGCTAGCTGCGCCCCAAAGAGGTCTAACTGAAAGTCACAGCCAGTGTGTTAACGTTTGGTAAGTCTTTAAGCTCAGCACAGACACACTCAGTATAAAAACACCTCAGGTATCTGCAGTCTTTATAAATACATTACATTTTCCCTGTAGATACCTTTTTTTGGGGGGAAACACACATATTGGTTACCTGTCCCATTTAACATCAGAATTGAAAATATAGATTCAATTTAATTCATAAAGCTTCATTCGCATGAATGTGACAATATTGCCAAAGCATATAATAACAAAGAATACAAAAATGATAGTATTTAATAGTAATAATCGACAATTCAACAGTAACAATAACAAGAGTAAAAATCCAATAAATATCTGTATTTTTTTTATATGATAAGACAAAACAAATTAGCAAAGAAAAAAAATAATTCACTGCACAGTATTTTCTGTTTATGTGCTACTGCTGCAGGACAGAGGGGGCAGTGTTGTAGCATTAGCTGGAATGTATCTACTGGTTAAAAAACCGTAGAAGAAGATGTCCAGAAGAAGCAGCTAAGTGACAGTCCGCCGACCTGTCTGCTTGTGTGCTTCAGGTGGTAATTCATCGCTTTGAGGCTCTTCTTTCATCATTTTCACTACAGCCAAATGAAAAAAACTAACAACGTTACGTAACAAACAGCTGATACCCGAGAAAACAGAAATGGCAGACGAAGAAATAGACTACAACATCGTGTTTCCAGACGCAGGGACGTCGGGTGAGCATCATTTCATTGTACTGTGTGCCTCAGCTAGCCTAGCATAGATGCTAACATTAAGACCATGGTTAAAACATGCCTCTGTTGGCCCTTAGCTTAGCTTAGCTTATCCCTGTCTGGTAACACGCTGCTCTGTCGTCTGGTTTGTTTTCAGAGAGACACTGGCAGGGGACAAAGGAGCCTGTTGTGGTCCTGCTGGGTTGGGCTGGATGCAAAGACAAACACCTTTCCAAATACAGCTCCATCTACAACGAACAGGTGAAATAAAAGCGCAAAATGCACAACTTTACATTGAGCTTCTTCCTGTGATAGTTCTGTGGCACTAATATGGGTTTTAATCATTTCCACAACTTCTCTTCTTTGTAATTTACTTTACAATTCACTGAGCAGATGCTTTTATCCAAAGCGACGCACATCAGAGAGTAAGCACAACACAAAAAGGGAACAATGTCAGTAAGAGCAAACGATCAGCTTTGAGTTTGATTGGACACACAGGTGCTGACAGGAAGTGACCAGAGGCAAAGCACAACATTGAGGGCAGTTCTTGAGAGCTCTAATCAGTATAGAAACCATCTTATAAGTCGTCGTTATCAAACAAAAACAATCGTCACAACCATCATCATCATCAATAATATTGAGACCATCATCATTAAGTTAGTAGGTATTCATGAAAGAGCTGGGTCTTTAGCTTTTTCTTAAAGGTGCAGAGGGACTCTGCAGATCCGATGGAGTTTGGAAGTTCATTCCACCACCGGGGGGCGACAGAGGAGAAGAGTCTAGTCAGCGTCTTAGGACCCTGGGCCCTTTCCGAATTGTCACAGTTCAGTAAGCAGTACGTACTATTCAGTATGGAGTTTCAGTAGGCTGAACTTTTGTGGTCATTCAGTATGCTTCTTTTAGGTCCACCTCAGTATACTGAACATTTCAGTATGGATACTAACTTCCAGGTTTCATGCAGTATGGATCGGATGCGTGCTTTCAGGAAATGAGTTGTGTTTTACCACCCACAATGCTGTGCGAAATTAAACGTAAATCGTCACGTCATGTCCGCCTCCAAATCAAAACAAACAAGCGTGGATTTATTGAATCAATTTTTAATCTAGAGTTAAAGTCCCGACTGAAATCACTATTCAAATCACTACTTTAAATGCGTCTTTATTGGTTTATTTTACTTTATATTCTGTATATTACTGTCTTTCATTTGTACTTAACTTTATTTAGGCTACTGTATGTTATTTAGTTATTTAATCTGTCTTTTACTTGATTTACATTGTGATATTGTTTTTTTTTTTACCTGACTGTAATTGAGCATTACTCTTCTTGAAGAAAGCTAAAAAAAATTAAACGGGTGAATGCGGCCGGTTCGGGAAACGTAAATGACGTCACTTCCATACTGAATGAATCAGACGAAGTAGGAACAAATATCTGCCTACTGTGCGCACATACTGAACAGCAGGTACTTGGCAGTTCGGATACAGCCCTGTTGTGAAGGTTGGATCAGACGCCTTTACTTACGTCCTTTTCTTTTCTTGCAGGGATGTGTGACCATTCGTTACACAGCTCCCCTAAAGACGGTCTTCATTTCAGAGTCGTTTGGCTACAAGGAGCTGAGCAGCACGGCGCTGAAGCTGCTGGAGATCCTCTATGACTATGAGGTGGAGAACAGTCCTATTTTCTTTCACATATTCAGTAACGGGGGCTTCATGCTGTACCGTTACATTATAGAGTTGTTGCACAATGATAAACAGTTCAGCTCCTTGTGTGTGGTCGGGGCCGTGGTGGACAGCGCCCCTGGTAGTGGGAATGTCCGTGGGGCCCTGCGTGCACTCAGAGCCACTCTAGGGCCCAAAATAAGTCCTGTTTTAAGGTACGTCCTCCTAGCTCTTTTCGCGGTGACTGTTTTCCTCTTGCGAATCATTCTGTACCCTTTGACCAAGTACATTCACAAGAACCACTACGACGCCGTGCAGGAGAGACCGCCAGCCTGGCCTCATATCGTCCTGTACTCCAGAGCCGACCAGGTGATTAGACACGTGGACATTGAGGTATTTGTGCAGACCCTGAAGCAAAAAGGGGTTCCCATGGACAGTTTTGATTTTCTTTCAAGTCCCCATGTCGGTCATTTCCGGGAGTTCCCTGAGCAGTATTCTCTAAAGTGTCGTGATTTCCTGGTTGCCTGCATGAAGGACTCGGAAGGGACCGAGATAAAGAAGAGACAGAGGGTTCAGAATCAATGAAACATGTAGAGAAATGTATTCGATTTTGTTTTCCCCCTGAAGCCGTCGTTACCACAGGATTCTTAATGGAGGGGAAGGAAAACCAACCAACTAATTTTTCATCGTAGTCTTAAAAATCGGTTAAATAACCAGGCAGAAAGTCTCTGGAAGACAGATGGAGCTTGTGCTAGACTAGTTCAAGATCTTAGCAATGTTTTTCCCGTCTTGGCTGCACAAAATTCATAGTATTTACACGGCAGCCATTTTCCTTGAAGTCAAGCTGAAGGTGGGATGTGCTGTTATGAAGATGTTCTGCTGTGTTCAAAGTTGAAATCTCACACATTTTTTTTATTTCAGGAATATCAGGCCGTATTTCAAAGTACAGTTACATATTTAGTAACCTATAAGATTAGACAACAGTCAACATAACCTTTTTGCTGAATGCTAAAGTTAGCTTTTGTGTAGTTACAGCCAGTCGATTATTACCTTTGAATATGGCCTGCTGATGTTTCTTCAAAGTGTTGATCAATCAGATGGTTTTGGTTGATAGAGATTTGTCAGAGTCTCTGTATTTTATATGATTTGAGAGCTTTGAACACTCAGCTTGACGATATCCTTTTTGATAACAGCCTGTTGTTCCTTCCAGCACTAGGTGTGTTGTTAGAGGAATATGGCCGCCACACATGTATTTGGTAAATGGGAAGGCTTCACAGAAGTGGTGGATGTGAGTGGCGTTAAACCCAGGTCCAGCTTTATGAAACACCGTAACACACACACTTCTAAAGTGTGTGGCTCAAAGGCCTAACCCTGCCTATGTACAAATAACAATACAAACTGTTGCTATACACTGGAATGTAAATCCTTTAGGATGACTTAAATGGTATTTAATATTGCTGTGAAATGTGATGAATTGTAGATTAGTAGTAGTGATTCTAAATCTGGGGAAGGGTATTGGAATATAATTTTAAAATAGTTGCCTTAAAAACAGAACATGCCTTTAATTGAAGTCCCGGTCCTGAAATTGTAGGAAGTTCAGCTGTAATATGTTCAACTCAACTGATTAAGTTCAAGGAAAAATGTTATTGACAATGAATGTAAATGTCCAACACAGAGATTGTGTTCTCTCAAACTGATGTGCCTTCAATAAACCAGAATGCTCATTGAACGATATGTCGCTCTATTTATTTCCTTTTTTCTTCTAAATGAAAACTAGAGACAACAGAAAAGTTAAACGTTTGAATCTCATTTGAAAAGAAGGCACGGTTGCCCCTGAGTTTCTGCTGAGCTCGAGGACGGACTGAGAGACTGCTCAGAGAACCTGAGTGATCGTCCTCAGTTCAGATAAACAAAAAGTGGCTTAACCATGCAATGACTTAAAAACAAGTTATCACATTTAAAAATGAATTGAAATATTAACAGAGCGCAGGGTAAAGGAGGTTTTAAAACGTTGTTGCCATCCAGTGTTTGTAAGGAGTGTGTGTTTTGTTTATGAGCGGGAAATATACTCACGAGTCATCTGCAAAGCAGTGGTAAGATAAGCTGTGATTTCTTCGAGGGCACCCAGTGGCATGTACAAGGAAAACAGAAGAGGTGTTTAAACTGAGCCCTGAGGAACCCCACATGTGATATAGTTTCAATAAAGCAACTGATGTGCTGCACAGAGTTTATAGCTAGTGCTACTTTCCAACTCTTGTCCCAGTTGGGCTTTTGGATAAACAAACAGAGTCGATTAAATCAGAAAGAGTACATTTACACATACAAAGAATTTGATTGGTGTATTGGTGCTAAACAATTAACAAGGAAACAACGCAGAACTAGCTACAACTTAAATAAAAACCACCTAACACTATCAAATGTTTAAAAAAATGATGTCCAACATTGTGGATGGGTTTGCATCAATCAGTTTAAAAATGATTATTTTAGAGTTCTCTTGAAAAGCCTTTTCACAATTTCATATTCAGCCATATTGCTTAACTACTTAACATAGTTTTCATGCCTTTTTATCACAGCAGGTGTTTAAACCCTTCTTTTCCACATAAAGTGTAGTGCTACTGATCCACAGTGTTGGTTGATAGTGCAGCTTGAAATGAAAATGAGAAGTTAAGGAATTCTTCTTTTATGTGCATTAACCACAGACTGTAAATATTAATAGTCAGAGCTTGAGTGACGTCAGACATCTGTTACTCCGGAGGCTCAACTGTGTCAGTCGTCACGCTCCAAACCCTGTCTCAACTTAACGACAGGCTGAGAGCTGGTTTTAAGCCTCTTGAGGTACCGTTACATCGCACCCACCTGTCAATCATGTCAGCTACGTGCCTAATTATGGATAACACTTAAAATAAAATCAAAACGGATGCGTTATAAACAAATTCTCCCCCGTACAGTGTGTGCCCATGAGGACAATTACTAATTAGACCAGTTTTTTTTTTGTACCAGGCTGTAAACATTTTTATTTCTGCTGTAAAAACATATTTTTTGCCTGTGGTGTGTATGTGACTTCAGGGCTTCAGGAGCGAGCGTCAAGCAGACATTCGACGAAATGCAGGATCTTGCACTTCCGCATTGGCTTCATTTTTAACCCCGGAGGTTTCTGATTGGCATTAACACTGTGGACAGTGCTGACAAAAAGAAGACCTGTTTTTATTTGTATAATTGGGGAAAGTTTATGGCATATGTCTCTTGTATTGTACTGGAGCTGGTCTTATTGTGTCCTCAGCTGATCTTTTGTCTTTGTCCCTTTGCTTGTGACTAGGAAAACTACCTAAATAACAAAAAAGGTTTCCTGAAAGTAAGCCATCAAGACAAGGTGTCTGTGATACCCAGAGGCAGATAAAGTCCGCTCTCGTCATGAGGCATCAGGGACTGTTTGAAGAGCGTGGCTCTGAATGGCTCCAGCAGGACACTTATTGAATGTCTGCGACATGTCAGATTTGACATTTGGGAGAGCGAGTGTTTGGCATTTGTCTCTGCCCATGCAGGCCGGGCCCGGGCACTTCATGTATCATGTTGAGCTGCTCGGAGGAAAGAGAGAAAGAGAAAAGTTTACATATCTGCACAGACAGATGAACATCGCTCACTGGAGTGCACATGAGACCGGCTGCTTTGATCTGCTATTGTTCCAAAGAAGAAGTCTTCACCAGGTCACCCTGTTTACTCTGAATCAGACTACACAAAGTGTGACATATAAGTATGAAAACAAATCTTTTATTGTGATTTGAAAAGCAGGAATGCATCTCCAGTAGTACGATGAGTATTTACATCCTTAACCTGAGTGAAACTAAAGGAAACTAAATGAAAGGTGAATATTGCATTACAAATTCTTCTGATACAACAGTACAGACGTGTAAAGCCAAACTGAAAATGTTTCCTTTCTTAATATATTTTAAAGTTGTAATTGGGTGTAAATGTAAGCTACAGTTTAGCTCTGTAGTTGGCTTGAGTGCAGCGTCTTTGAACTTTAATCATCCGTTTTAGGCATGACTATAAGTAAGAAGAATATTTAATACTGTCAAATACTGAGAAAGGGTCACAACGTTGGCATAATATCACGATACAGACAAATACATCATGTATGCATGATGCAACCAGAAAAAAAACCCACTGGAAGTGCTTCATGAATTGTTGTACTCTTATATGTATTAATAGATTATTAGAAATATGCTGAGGATGTTTAGGTCGAGTAGAATCAGTTCTATCTGAACCGGTTATTTTGTCCGCTTCCATCGCTGCAACACTTGTTGGGTGACTGTTTGCCTGTCAAACTGATGGGCATCCAAAACGGCGTTCTGAAAATATAATTACCCCTCAATCCTAAATCAACCCCATTTGACTAAACTGTATTATTTTATCACTCTAGTATGAACAGCACAGGTCAAACGAATAACATAAAAGGCCCAAATGAACTAAATGCAACTTTTGTTGGCAGAGGGATGATGATTTGAACACATCACCAACACATTATTAACATTTTTAAATATGTCAACAGCAGTATCTTATTTACATACTGAGCATATAGACCAACATTATACTTTAGGAGCTCCTGATGAATGCAAGTTAAAAATTGACTCTGTTTTAGCTTTTATTTTTTGTCTGAGATGTGGCTCCTGAGCCATTAAATATGTCACTACATCGAGCAGATGCACCTTCTCTACTAGCGAACTCTTTCATATTGATTTAATGATCTTTACGTTGTCATTTGATGCTTCGTTAAAGTTGCTTTAACCCTCAGGCATCAGTTTAATTTACTACCCTCTGAAGTCACTAAGGACAAAAATGTCCGCTTCCAAAAAACTGCTAAAAAAAGTAGAACAGATTCATATTTTTTTTCTCCTTTTCTTTGCATAAATTTCTTGAATAATTATCAGGAATTTAACCCTTTAAATGCCAGTTTGATTACATGATTCTGGCATTTAAAGGGTTAAATTCCGGATAATTATTCAATATTTGATAGTTTTGAGCAGGGCTGGAGTTTTTTAAGAGATTTATGCAAAAAAAGTGGAAAAAAAATATCAATCTGTTCTATTTTTATAGCAGTTTTTGTAAATTGGACATTTTCGCCCCCTACCAATGTCCAAACGGGGAACTACATTTTAAATCTGATGCTACACAAAAACTAACAATGCATCGAAAGTCAATATTTTGGATAATCTTTGACATATCCAAGACTGATTTTAAAAAAAATCCCCCCGCTACCAAATATTTGTTATATGGAAAATAACAATAATGATGTTTTGTTTTTCATAAATAACAACAGTGACATCATGTAATCAAACTGGCATTTAAAGGGTTAAATTCCTAAAAATGATTGAATGTTTGATAGTTTTGAGCAGGGCTGAAAAAAATATCAATCTGTTATATTTTTATAGCAGTTTTTTGGAAGTGGACATTTTTGTCCTTAGTGACTTCAGAGGGTAGTAAACATGTTTCACAGTGTTCTATTGATCTATTAGAAAAAATAAAATGTGCATTCCAAAATGTGTCAAGAGTCTTTCTTACAAAAATGTGTGCCATATGCACTAACACAGACAACATGATGGCCAGATAAGAAGAGGAAACATTTGCCCAAACGGACAAAAATGTCCATAATGATGCATGAGGGTGAAGATGCAAAGATAAGTGAGGGGAAGTCGGGTGGCAGGAGATTTGTCTGGTCACTCGAGGAATGTGAAATGTTTCGCACTAAATGATTAACATTTATTGACTGAATAAGCTAAGAAATGAGCATGTTTGTGGATTAGAATGAGAAGGGGTTTGAGAATGACCCGACAAAGATCCCACAGGTAGAAAATATTACAAAAACCCTGCTTCATATTCATATGTGAATGACAATGAACCCAGAACATCAGTGACCAAAAAAAACAAACTGAAAGAAGTAAGCTGAGGAAAATGTTGAAATGAGTCACTACAGTAATTGTCCTGTAGAGGGCAGCATTGGCTCACAGTTCCCATCATGCAACATTTCACTGAGGCCTCCACTGAGCATCAAGCTGACAACGATCGGGTTCAGGAGTGGGTGTTTCATTCAGAGCTCCTGAGGGATAAAGGCTGGGAAACAGAACCTTCAGAAGGTATTTCTGTGCATGATTGCACAACTTTGAGTAGGACGAGTGAAATGTTGTGGCTGTTAATTGATGTAACAATGAATAAGTTATTTAGATAAAAAATGTTGTGGTTATTCTGGAGAAGAGCTTGATTAAATTACCAAAAACCCTTTGGTTATGTTTCTGACACCGGGGAGAATAAAAGCTTTATTCCAAAGAAGAGAACGATCGAGGCTCTGAATGAGAACAGACGATGAAGGAGAGAATGGATGGGTGGGAATAAAACGTCATAACACCCCCCTCCTCTCTGAAATGCACTGAATGAAGAAATTACCCGATGGAAGTTAATGAAGTCTCACAAGTTGATGAGGGGAAAATTGCGGCGAAGAGGGGTCAGCGCTTTCTCTTTAGCCTTTCCCTCT